ACTGCTCCTCTCTTGGTCTCAACCACATTCCAATGGACCTGCCCAATGACATCTACAAGTTAACGCTTACTGAAAATAGGCTACGGACTTTTAATCTGTCAGTTTTGCTGAAATATCCCGAGCTTGCCTTTGTCGATGCTCAAGATAATAAGTTGACTTCGGTTGTTCAGCCGTTTGCTCAGACTACTAAATCTTCTTCTTTGTTGATTTTGCTATTGGGAAATAATAACTTTCGTTCGATTGGAGAAAATGCTTTCAAAACCTTACCTTCTTTGAAAAAATTATCTGTGAATCATAACATGATCCAGTCGCTTACAAACTTCACGTTCTCCGGATTAGACCAGCTGTATGTACTAGACCTATCTTTCAATGACATACGACACATAGAACTAGCCACGTTTGACAGTGTTCCCAATTTACGTACATTGCTTCTTAATAATAACATGCACTTCAGTTACTACCTATCACATATGCCTCCTAGGCTTTTCATGAATTTAAAATCTCTCAAGGAATTAAACATAGTAGGTAACAGTGGTGGGTCTGAGATGTACCCGAATGAGGCCCTCGGCTATTTGACAAATCTAAATGTGTTGAGCATGGACGGGCTTGGTCGTGGTGCTGTTTTGGGTCCCCAAGTAAAAAATCTGACACACTTGGAGTCACTTAAAGTTGGTGTTGGAAGGAAAACTTTCTGTAGAATCGGGAATTTGACCTCTTCGTTTTTTGAGAATACGCCATACTTGAAATCGCTAGAAATACAACACTGTTTAATGTCACAGATCGACAGTGACACGTTTTACAGCACGCCCAAATTACAGCATTTAAAAATGTCTTACGCCAAAAACCTTGGATTCAGTGAAGCTTTGCGCTCCTTAGCTAGTCTACAAAATTCTTCAATGAAGTCTCTGGAGCTTGTCCATTTGGTTAGTCACAATGGTCTCCCCTGCAGGTACGTGACTGAAGAGGATTCGAAATTCATCAAGAACATGAAGCTTGAGCTGCTGGATTTGTCAGAGAATTACCTCGCTATGATCGAGATAAACTTCTTCACGGCTCTGCCCCAAACGTTAAAGACATTAGTACTGAGAAACAACAGATTCACCATAGAAACCTTTGAACTCAAATTTTTGGCTAGTTTGAAGAACCTTGCGAAATTAGATTTAACTGCTCAAAACATTGGGATAGTGAAGAAGTTACCAAGGAACGAACAAGACAACAAAGATGGTGAGACATGTGAGTTAATACCTTCAGATATTATAGATTCAGAAGCGTATCCAGATGGAATTCCGAAAGAATATGAATATCCAGCGATACAGCCGCCTCTGTACAATGGGCTGCTAAATGCAGGCCGTATGAGGAGCAATCTGTTTGTTATGGGCGAGGCGACCGACGCTGAGGACAAAACACGAGAGACGATGAGTGAAAATCAAAATGGCTTCACTACTCCAATCTCAAACGAAGTGAAGGCGATTAAGTTACCACCAAATTTGCAAATTCTTTGGACCCCAGAATTCATACTATATGGAGAAATCGTCCTACTTCAAGGAAAGAAGGCAAAATTAAAGGAGATAGATTTTTCGAACAGTTTTTTGTCTAAATGGGGTAGAGGCAGGCTACACGGGAGTGAAAGGGTCGTGTCTCTAGAGGGAAATTACTGCAGATTCGTCCATCAAAGGTTTTTCCCTCTTAACAATTCTCTAGAATTTTTTAACATCCGCAACAATATATTGGGTCCACAATTTGCCAACGACGAACATGGCATACTCTTCAAACGACTTGGCCGTGTTGTCATGCTAGATTTGTCTATGAATTTAATTTATAGGCTGTCTCCGAACTTTTTTAAGGGCTTGAAGAGACTTCGTGTGCTAATATTATCAGACAATAAACTTCAGAGTTTGAATTTTCGCGTATCCAGTATGCCAGACTTGACAACAATCGATGCCAGCAAAAACTCTATCGCGTGGATTGGGAAAGCAACAAGAGACGGTCTAGACTCAATAGCTCTCCACCATCCTGTGAGTTTAGACTTGCGGAAAAACCCACTCCCTTGTACTTGTAAAGGTATCGAAATCTTGTCATGGTTAGCAACGACCAAAGTCCATCTGTCTGGCAAAGACTTTTTGGTTTGTCGCTTGGAAAAGAACCATTACGTCACCATTGGGGACCTGAGCCTTCGTGTATCGACCATGAGGAGACGCTGCGCTCCTTTGCTCGACGTGGTCTTCATTTCAGTCGTGTGCGCCTCGTTATTCCTTTTGCTCTCGAGTTTCCTCGTGGTGTATCGGTGCCGCTGGAAGTTACGATACCTGCACAAAGTGACGGTCTCCAAGTGGTTTGGGTTCCATCCCAGTTCCCAAACTTCAGGTCACAAGTTCGACGCTTTCATACTATACGCCGAAGAAGATCGAGATTTTGTTTTACAAACCATGCTGACAGAGCTGGAGACAAACCGAGGCCACAAACTTTGTGTCGCGGACCGAGACTTCATGCCCGGTACCTTCATCACCACAAACATAACGTGTGCCGTGCAAAGTAGCACTCTCACCCTCCCCGTGGTCTCCCCCGACTTCCTCGATGACGATTATTCCGAGTACGGTATCCAGATGGCGCTGTGTGAGATGGTCTTTGAGAAGCGTCCGGTGCTGCACCTAATCCTGGCCGTGCCCATGGACTACCAGCGTCTGTCCCGGGACCTCATGCGGGTGTTGAGAGAGAACAAGTACACAGAGTACCCACCACAGGAGGAGATGGAGGACGAGAACATCAAAAAGAACTTCTGGGACGCGCTCTCACGAGTGATCGGCCATTCCAATAGCCAGTCAGAGCCCAGGCTGGATGTGAGCGGAGAAACATAGCAGGTGTGTTGTTGGCAGACCTGGACAGGACAGTCTACGCTACCTCAGAAGTCTTCTCTCTCTTCTCTTGCCCTTTTTAACTCCAAGTGGAGGACAGGCCATCAACAGCATTACTCCAGCGAAACCTGTCCTGAGCATCCTTTTCTATCTGTTTCCATGATGTCCCCGCTTTTTCAATTTCAGCTTGTCTCCTCAGAAGTACAACGTTCTATCTGACATTTTTGGCCGTTTTTTTCATTATGAAGACCATGTAATAAAAAAAACAATTACATATTCTATCTACTCTATTAAAATCATAAAATTATTCGAAGTCATTATCAAGATATACAGAGAATTGTATTTAAAAAAGCTTGATATGTTGAAAAACTCAAAATCTTTGACGTCAGATTTCTCAAAACTAGGTACGGAGCAGATAGAACTTTGTAATTCTGAGGTAGCGAGTAGCCAATCATAGCCCGTACAGACAGTGGTCAATCAGGAAACGGAAGAGGCCTATCTCAGTCCGGACTGAAGCCAATCAGAAGACAGAACGAGCAAATGAAGGCCAAAAAGGAGCCAATCCCAGCACGGGCAGGAACCTGGAGAAGAACCAATCACATACTATGAAAAAGAACCAATTGCAGCTCGGATATAAGTCAAACATTGCTCGCATCCAATCACAGCCGGAACAGGGGATCAGCACAGCCCGGCAAGAACCTAATCAGTGCACGGGCAGGAACCTGGAGAAGAACCAATCACATACTACGAAAAAGAACCAATTGTAGCTCGGATATAAGTCAAACATTGCTCGCATCCAATCACAGCCGGAACAGGGGATCAGCACAGCCCGGCAAGAACCTAATCAGTGCACAGGCAGGAACCTGGAGAAGAACCAATCACATACTACGAAAAAGAACCAATTGCAGCTCGGATATAAGTCAAACATTGCTCGCATCCAATCACAGCCGGAA